AGTACTGCCATTTCCCGGGGGAGCCCTCCCAGGAAGAAGATCTCCATTGAACCCTCTTTCTTTATAGAATAACATCAAGTTGTGGCAGGAGAGTTGAGGGGAGGGGCTATGCACCCGGCAGGTAGTACAACACGTAAGGCCCCTTTCATCACACCCCCCTACCACCGTTTTTCAGCATGAAGACAAAGATGCACATGATGCTTCAGGCACTTTGATTAGAGTGGCTCCTGGAGCCACTCTAATTAAAGCACCCCTCCCCCCATTCCTGAAGCATGTGTATAAACACCCAAAGGTACCGCACCTTGCAGAGTGAGAGTGCTGTGGTCCCGAATTACTCATCTCAAGCCAAGAACTTCCTTCAGGCCCTCCTAAGAACTGCCATCACCACCTTGCTCCTCAGGCTGTAGGTGAGGCGTTCAGAGCAGGGGCCACCACTGTATAGAAGAGAGCCATCTACCAGTCATGGGCTAGAGCCAGGCTGGAGGCTGAGAGGAAGTAAAACCAGGTGACAGTAGTGTAGAAAAGCATCACCAATGGTCAAGTGGGAGCCACAGGTGCACAGGGCCTTGTATAGGCACTGGCACAGCACAGATTGATCACAGGCATCCCAGTGTGGGCATAGGAGGCCAGGCTGAATACAAAAGGGGCTCAGGCTCACCATGATTCCTTCGGTGAAAAGCACCACCTCGTTGAAGAAGGACTGGGTGCAGGAGAGACACCAGAGGGGCAGCAGTCACAGAAGAAGTTCTCCAAGTGGTTGCTGCAGTATAACAAGTGGACAGCCAACATGGTATGTAGCAGGGAGGGTAGTGACACCACTGCCTGGGAGGCTGCCATCATCTTGAGGCACAGGGGCCGCATAGCGCAGTGGGTTGCCGATGGCTACAAAGCTGACATAGACCATGATGGCCAACAGATAGCTCTCCATGTTGCCCACAAAGAGAACATGGGCCATGCAACTGGAGAAGGGGATGTTCTGGCATTGGGTGAGGGCATGAACCTGAGCCCTGTGATGGTGGTGAAGCTCATGTCCACTAGGGCCAGGTGCCTGAGGCAGAAGTACTTGGGGCCATGAAGCTGGATATCAAACCATACCATGCCCAGCAGGAGGGAGCTGTTAAACACATTCACCAAGCAGATAGCCAGTGAAGACCGGGAAAAAGATGGCAAGGACACAACAATAAAACAGAGAGCCCTGCAGACCACTTCAGGCACCCACACACATTCTCAAACATGCACACAGGGTTGTTAAGCCTCTGTACCCTGCCAACTTCCCCATTAGATTCAAGGAACACTATAAAGAGTTAAATCCTCTCTGGAAACTGGCCTACTGCCCAGCCCTGACCAGAGGTGCGAACACTACCAGTGAAAACTATACACACACTTGTGTAAAGTTAATAACAAGAATATATTATGACAAGAAACAACTACAACAAAGTACTATAACAACAGTCTTATAAACACTATACAGAGAATATACAGTTAAAGAACCCAACACCAGTCTGTTAGGGCTGTGCAAAGCTTCAGGTCCAGATTCAATTCAGAGGAGATTTGGCCCGATTTGGCGGCCCAATCTCCAAATCTGAATTGAATCAGGAGGCCAATAAAAAGGTCTAAATCGATTTG